TTTTTTTTTTTTTTTTTTTTTTTTTTTTTTTTTTTTTTTTTTTTTAATAAAGGTAGAAGGTATTAATATTTCTCTTGAAATTAAATACGATCCAGAAATCAATCAAACAGCTTTGTATACCCAAAAGAAGGAAACAAGTTAGATTTAAGCAACACAAATTCTGGTGTCAAGCAGAGCTAGCTATCCTTAGACATAAGAAGACATGGCTTACACAGAGAACAACAAATTATACAGAAACATATGAACAACAATTCAATTGCTATTAAAAGATATATCACACATTATAACCCAAAACCAATGGTTCAAGCGTAGTCTGGATTTGGGGAAGGCCTTTTCCACACCAATCTTAAAAGAGTTTGACTTGTTGGGTTCCACTTCTCATCATTGTACAGAACTCATCATAGTTGATTCTTCCATCCTATCAACATCCAACACGAAATTAGTACATTTTTACCAGGAATCATAAGAACTCTAATGACGAACCAACTTACATTGTCTGCATCGACTTCAGATATGATTTCGTTAATGGTCTCTTCGTCGCCCATCCTGTAATCTTTCATTGCAGCTTTCAGTTCATCTCTTGTGATATAACTGAAACAATAAGTCTTTAGTTAGTCGTTTCGAAAAGAAGATGGATGCTTATATATACGTATATTCTTGAATGAATGAGACACTGACCCACTGTTGTCCTTGTCAAAATGCTGGAAGGCTTTGTAAAGATGTTCCTCTTTTTCTAGCTTGTATCTATGCATCGTAGCAGTGATGAATTCGATGTAATCGATTGTACCGTTTCCATCCACGTCGGCCTGAAACGATGAACCACGTTACTCTCAGTTAATGTGAGGAAAGAATGAATAAGAAACTTTGGGTGATCCATATATTACCGCTTCCATAAGTTGTTTGACCTCAGCCTCACTTAGTGTTGAGCCAAGCCGGGCCAGTCCAGACTTCAGTTCTGCATAAGTGATGGTTCCACTCTTGTCGGTATCCATGTTCATGAACATTGCCTTCAGGCCTTGAATCTCTTCCTCAGATAGATTTTCAGCTATAACCTGCAATTGTTTCACAAACTACCTGTTAATATCATCACCGAGAACTCGTAATCCACAGCCCCCCGAATAAGTAAGGCAGATCACCTTCAGAGCAAGTTTCTTCAGTTTGTTCATAGCTCTAAATTGCTTGAGCCTTGTAAATACTGCACTGTCTATTGGCTTATCAGATGCATCTCCGCCTTCTCTCAACCATGGATGCTCTAAATACGATAGACAATGTCCGACCCAGTTAGACGTTACAGCTTCGTATACAAATTTGTGGATTTCATTTAGGTATCAAGAAAGCATTCACGGCAACATAAAGACTTACCAAGAACCTGAGCCGACGTAAGCCTTTTGGATGCGTCTGGATTTAACATTTTCTTCACTAGGTCCTTGGCACTGTTAGAAATTTTCGGCCATGGATCAGTTTCAAAGTCGAGATGTCCTTGCAATATTGAATCGAATATGCCCTTCTCAGTTTCTGCAATAAGGATCATGTTATTCACAGCAATGCCTGGCGTTTTCGGGAAAAAGAAAATGCAAAAGGATGTTCTTTATAAGGAGCACGATTCTCTCTTTTACCTGCCCAAAATGGAGGTACACCACTGAGTAGTATGTACAACATGACTCCAGCACTCCAAATATCAATTTCTTTCCCATATCTACGACGTAATACTTCAGGGGCGACGTAATAAGCACTCCCTACAATGTCTTTGTACACCTTTCCTGAAAGAAGTCGATAGAGAAAGAAACTCAAATGCCAAATTTTCAGTGGAATCATATATAACTCCATCAAAATCTCATGAACTCTCCAGCAAAGCATGAATCCATTTAGCACAATCGCATTTCACTCACAATTGTGAAGCAATTTTTTACATCCAAATTATCAAGTCAGTCGAGAAAACTCGAACTAGACAATCGTGTTTGAGGCCGGCCAAAACATTCCACTTCATCCGCATAAAATTATGAAAATAACATTAAAATTCACAAAACAAAAGTAATTCGTGTTTGAGGCCAGCCACTTATACAACAATCTATTTCAAGAAAAGAAATTGATGAGAAATTCATACAACACTACATTGTTTGACAATTCTGTTGATGAAGTCATTAACAAAAGTGGAAACGAATAAACCGAAAACGCTACAATAGTTATGTACAAGTCAAGTACATAGGAAAGTTCAAGCCTTCAAGGTTGAGGTTATCAATCCATGATGATGAACCTTGACCAAGAAGAACCGGTCCTATACGAACGCGAGTTGTAAGGCACACACAAATTCCCATACATATATCTACAACAGATGATCACCAACAAATGGAATATTGAAAAAAAAAAACATATATCTAGTTCTACCATCTAAGACATGTAAGGCACACACAAATTCCCATACATTTGACCCACTAAAATCATCAACAAGAACAGCAAAGTCAACTAAAACAAGCACAGAAAAAACTCAAAAGAAAATGGAATGAAGAACAAATCCAATAAGCAGAGCAAGAACCTCACCCTCTTCAATGAAAACAGACAATCCAAAATCGGTTGCTTTGAGCATAGCATTTTCCTCTTTGCTAGCAAGCAGAAAGTTCTCAGGCTTGAGGTCCCTGTGCATCACCCCCATGAAATGGCAGATATGAACCACATTAACAATGGACCTGCAAATTGAGGCAGCTGCTTTCTCACTGTAATGGCCCTTAGCAATAATTCTATCAAACAGCTCGCCTCCAGCGCAAAGCTCCATGATCAAATGAACCGATTGCTTATCTTCATAAGCTCCCTTGAACTCAACTATGTTGGGTTGGCCACTCAAATGCTGCATAATATGAATCTCCCTTCTAATATCATCCTTATCATTTTTGGTCACAAGCTTCCTCTTCGAAATGGACTTACAAGCATATTGCTTACCCGAGGAATTCTCAGTACAAAGATAAGTCACCCCAAATTGCCCTCTCCCCAATTCTTTCCCAATCGTGTAATGCAGCTTAACATCCTCGAACGGCTTCCCTAGAATCGTATCAGACCTCAAAATATTGTGTCTGGGGCTTTTGGGAGGACCCGATGACTTCGCCGCCGTCGCTTCTGGGTGGTAATTTTCCGGCGACCGGTGAGCGTGTTGAGCAGGGGGTTTTGCTTGGTTTTCGTAACGATCGTACTGGGGTGAGTATTTTCCCTTGCTTGTGCAGATGCCCATTTTTTCAGATCAAATCGACTATCCCCTCGCTGAAATTGAAGATCAAAAACTAAAATCTAAGCAAACCCTAGATGGAAGATAGCAAGTAAGAAGGTAATCTTTCTCAAACAGGAGGAAACGAGTAAGAACAGAAATTCAAAAGAAAACTGAAGAAGATTGAACAGGGTTTTAAAGAAGATTTGGACTCAGAG